CCCAACTTGGGAATTGACCGGAATTATATCATGCATGCATTGCCAAAGAAACAAAATGATTTTCTTATGGGCTTTAATATTCCACACATTTCGCCATATAATTCTAGACACAGCAGCAAAGCTTAAACTTGTCTTGGAAAGAGAGGACGGCAATTTTTTAAGGAAAGAACAAGCAATATGATATGCACTTTTGACCGAAAAATGACCATTAAGAGAGGCGCCCCAAACCTTTTGATCTTCTCTCTGGAACATGCTTAGAGGAATTTTGAGAATAAGGTCTCTATCACGTTGATTGAAAAACTGGTCAATCAACTCAAAATTCCAGCAAGGAGGGGAAGGGGAAAACAAATCCGCAACCAAGGAAAAACTCGCGCCCCATGGCTTAAAAGAAACAGCATGATTAAGAAGGTCTGGCAGCTAGTTGTCAAGCCAACACTGCACTTTCGAACCATCTCCAATACGCCATTTCATCGCTTGGTGAATCACCTCTCGCACTAAGAAAATACTCTTCCAAACCCACGAAGCATGAGATGGAGATAATGAATCCACAAAGCTGCAGTTTTTAAAATATTTAGGCTTAAAGGATTTGTAAAGCATAGAATCATCACCAACCTCCATACGCCAAGCAATCTTGGCTAAAAGCGCCATGTTAAAGGCTTCAACGTCACGAAAACCCAGACCTCCAGCATCCTTGGATTGGTACATATCAGACCAATGAATCCATTTAATTTTATTTCATCACTCCACACCACTCCACCAAAAGTTAAGAAGTTGACTAGATAAGCCTTGGCAATTCTTTTTTGGAAGCCGAAAACATTGCATGGAAAACACTGGAATTGTCGAGAGAACAGATTTCAGAACGCTTTAAACAACTCGCTTTAGCAGAGATTTTTTTGGACAGGAAATTAAAAGCCATCGTTTTAGAACGACCCAAGAAGGTGTTGGGAAATGTGCAAGTTTTAAAAACTTTCTGAGGGATTTTTATACATAGATCTTGATTCATCACCTAGAGACAAATTTTATGCAAAAATAAAATATGATGTATTATTCAATTAATAGATTGAATACTTACATTAAAGGTTTGAGTAAACCTTAAATCTTTCTTCTAAAGTGAATGTTCTCACTTATTGTAGATCCCTTTGCTAGATGCATTTTCTTTGAATCTCCATCTTCTTAGTAATGGTCTTGCCTTTAGGAATTACCCATAAGCCTCCATAAATGACCTTGAAAAATTAGGCTTGTGGGTGCCTCCATTAGATGAGAACACTAACCCTAAAATTCTAGAGAAAGAAAAATATATTCCTTTTTCTTCCAAAAGTCACCTCTAAAATATACATAGACTCATGTATATATAGGCAAAATAAAGATAAGAAAAGTAAACAATAAATCCTTTTCAATCTTTAATCCACATATCTTAAATCTAATAGGATTCCAATATCAAGTTGGGCTATGAGTAAGAATCTTTTGGGCTTATTATTTTAGTGGCTATAATGAATTAATAATTGACCCGATCCATGGATCCAATTAAATTAATTCATTAATTAATTTCTACTCCATTAAAAGAAATTAATTGAATTCCAATTAAATAATAAATAACATCTAAGTCAATGTTGCACTTTGACCCCTCTATGCATAATTAGTTATCGGCTACTTAATTAATATATTTATTTTGGTACCTTTGATTATTTTCGGCTTGATCACAATAAAAACATTTGTTTGACAAAAAATAATAATTTAAATAAATAAATATATAGAAAATCATTTTGTCTAAAAATATACGAAGGCCTTCGAATTTACTTTGTGATCAACCATAATCAATACAAAATAAATACAAGTAACAATGATGTAAATACTGAAAATATAACCCTCTAACTGTTAATTACATAATTACCCAAAGTGCCGGTCTAAGGATTCCGAAGATTCTGCCAAACAAATCAAAGTAATTACTAATTAATAAAAGATTCTATACTTCTTTTATGCTTAAGAGTCAAATGCCATGACAGTGATAGGGAGCAATTGCATACGACGGCTCTCGCGATATATCTCAACCTAACGCGGATCCAGTTCAAGTCTTAATTAATAATGAGTCCATCCATAATTACCAACTATGAACAATTTATGATTACTATTTATATTCATGTATTGATCGCCATCACATACATATATAAATATCTCTTGTAATCAAGTGGACACTATCAATTCCGTAATGAATCGAAACATAATACATTGAATTCACCAGTTGTATAAATTATAAATATTTCAGATATATCAAAAACATATGTCACTTTAATCCAAATAGGAATTTGCTATGCCAGGGCATATAAATCTCAACAGAAGGAAGGTAAACTAAGATATTTATTTTGCCAATTCATACTAAGAATACCCAACATCCGTCTACAAACCTCCTTTTGAGAAGAGGAAGTATTAAAAGAGAAAAACGAGCTGGATTTTGCGAACGTATTTTATCAACATAGAATCCATGTAGCAAAGTATTTTGGCTAAGTTCTTTTAATCGCAGGAACCTGATCAATTATATTAAGTAAATTATAATTATTGTTAAATATATGTGACTAAACGAAAAGGCCTAGATGGCCAAATATATTAATAGTACATTGGATTGATGGTAATATTTATCCAAACAACTAATTATCATGTAAGAGTCTATTTATGGTATTAAGTAATAGTTGGGGCTAGACCTTGAGTGTAATTATTTTTATTTAGTGGAGTTAGAAATAATTAATATAAGGTATTTGATATGCTAAGGAGTTGGTAGACTATTGGAATTCTCTATTGAAGTCTTGGATATGCATTGTAGCAATACAGTACACATATCTCTCTCAGAGTTCCATAATTCTAAAGTAGATCAAAACCTCACACTTCTCACCGCTCGTCGATTTCCAAACCGAAGATGGGAGTGAAGATCCGAAAAGCACTACTAGCCATTGGAGATCAAGGACTGTGGATTTCAAATTTAGCAATCAATCGATTATCGATGGCAGTCAATTTTTCAATTGTCTAAGATGTATATTAATCAAACTTTCTATGGTAATCAAGATTAATCATAATTCGTTAAAATTGATTGATACGATCTTGTCCCGCTCAGAAAAATTATTTTTATTAAATTAAAAATGACTTCTACTTTTATATATTATTCTGGAGCTATCCAACAGTGGAGTATAATGAAGTAAAGAAAGACTGTTTATATAAAAGCTTAAATTATTGTGAACATAAGTTAATAAATGATTTATGTTAGTATAGTTGGTCTATACCTAATTAATTACTCAGTATAATGTTAATTTTAGTAGTATCTTTATCTTTATTCACTATTGTTTTGAAATATGTTAAGAGTGTCACTTCTTGGACAATGAACTTGATGAGTTGTTAGCTCACTCTAGTTCACTTTGGTTGTATCTAATTTTTGGATATTGTATTTATTATATTATATTTTCAGTTGAGAATGTGGACCTTAAGGTTTCAACCCAATTAAAATTTAGGTCATTTTCACGACTACAAACTATTAAAGTGTGAACTTAATATTTTATTTAATTTTTTGCTAATGAAGTTTTAGTATTAAACACAAAGATTATTAGGGACAAATGGTAAAGCTCAAATGGACCATAAATCATGGTGACGGAACTTAAAGAGCTCAAAGTCATTGAAAGCAAAGTTCAACACCATGAGTAGTATAGACTTTTGATGAGAGTTAGATCTAATGTAAAGTAATTTGTGATCCATTTTGATTGAAAGCTCAACCTTAGTACTTCAAGGAATTTAGGATCTAAGAATTGAATTGAAAAATATCATTTTAAGGTCTCAAAGATCACTGACTTAAGCCGAACACAGACGACTCAGATTACAAGGGCATAAAAGTCATTTGACTTTAGATGACTTATTAGTCACCTAAGTTGTATATTTAAACGCTTAAATGAACTAGATGAGACTTGACATTCAGGAAAAGGTTACTTAGATGCCTAAAAGGATAATTTAGACGCTTAACTTGGACATTTGTTTCGGACTTATTTTACATTGGATTTGAATGGGAGGTGAAAGGAGTTTAAATGAGTGTGTATGCAGTATTATTTAAAACTTAATCTTTTGAATAAATAAACAATCGCTTACTTGTTACAGTTGGTATCAGAGTCAGACCTAGTCCTTAATTCGATATCATGACAAGTGTCCGGGTCGGTCTATCCGGGTAGGCAGGGTGACTCGACCGAAACGAGGGCGTTGCATGGATTCGGATAGAGAAGAATTTTACGTCCTGAAATTTTGAATAAATAAACAAGCGTTCACCCGTTGCAACATTCCAATACAACATTCCAATCGGTGGGCTACATTTCTGTAAAAGCAAAGTGACTAATGTAGAGGTGTCCTCTGTGTGTGATAGAGAAGATGGTTAACAGTTATTTAATGTCAAAGCAAACCTTGACAGACGAGTCCTAAAAAGAAAGCCAATATTTAGGTTGCTCAAAATTTCAATTTTTTTACAGTTCTCAAACAAATTTTTTTTATTTTATTTAACAGATGCAACTTTAATATTCTATGCTCTAAATGCAACTTAGAAGTTTTAGCTATTATATCCAATTCAAGAACCAAAAGCAAAAATACAAATATATATATTTTTAATTTAACAAAACAAATTTTAAAAATAAGACAATTACTAAACATGATTTTACTTTCTGTTTCAACTCTAAAAAATCAAAATCATTATTAAAAGTATGAATTAACTCAATGTTAGTGAACAACCCTGTATAAGTGCATATAAATTAGATTTTTATTTAAATAAAATAATATAAAAAATGTATATAAAAAATAAAAACAGTTCACACTAGTAAAGGTATAGATAAATATAGATGTAGAGAATCTCGAGGATAAAATGGATAAAGTTAGGGTTGATAACTTTGTCGATGGGTGTGAAAATTATTTACCATATGTTTACTCAGATAAGTAAATTATCCAAAACAAGGGAAAAAAAAAAAAGAAGTTATACTTAAATTGTTGTTAAAGAAAAGCATCCTAATAAATCATGTAGTAGTAGTGTCTGATCTTTCCAGAAGCTGAAATCAAACCCTTCTCTTCGTAGGGTTCATTTTGTATGAAATCGGGGAAAAAAAAAAATAAAAAAAAAAAAAAAAAAATCTCATGAACACACATTAGAAACCCTAACTGCCATGAAATCGATTCCTTCTCTTGCATTTCTTGGAAGCAGTTCTCATTCCCAATTCATTGCTTCAGAAAATGTTTATGTTGCAGAGCCGGAGAGGGTTTAGCCTACAATTTTGATGGCATTTGTTCGTTCGGTGTCGAGTTTTACTGGCTGTTGTTTATGTGGAAACAATCTCCAAGAAATCAAAAGCAACTACAAGGTTTCTCTTCCTCTCATCAGAAGCAGCAACACTCTGATTGGATCGGAAACACTCCGGAGAAGATGTTTCCTGGCTGTGGGTCGGTGGAGATTGAACGCCACTGACGTGCGTGTCATTGAGAACAACAATGCCCAGACGCGGACTGGACTCGTTGAAATTCCCGTCACTTGCTACCAGGTCAGTTCTTCAAATACAGTATATATATATTTATATATACACATATATGTAAGTATATATGTGTAGGTTTTAGTTTGTACAAATGATGATTCAATTCTTTCGCAGTTGTTGTGTATGAGGGACAATGTTTTCACAATGTGATGAATTTTGTATGAGTAGCTCATGTTTTCCTGATTTCAGTGATGCTTGGGACCTCATTTGGTTCCTATACAAGGAAAAGAGAATATTAAATCAATAGTTAACTAGTCCATTTGATATGGCAGACTGGGTTGTTTTGGGTGAGGATAAGAGCAGATAATTTAATTATATATATATGTGTGTGTTTTTCTGTTTTCCCAATTGTACTTTTTATTTAGTATTTATTTTAATCTGTAATAAATTTAAGGGTAAAATTATCTGTAAGAAGGGAAAGTGCTAGTAGTACTGCTCATCTGGACACTGTTTTCTAAGGAATTTCCTCTCTGTTGAGAGTTGGAGTTGTTGTCTCTCTAAAAGTAAATTTTCTCTTTAAGGATTGCAACTGCAACAATTTGTATCACAATACTTTTCTGGGACCAGTGAGGTCATACTCCTCATTGGGTTTCTCTAGTGTATGGTTATGGCGCGATTAGGTTGTCTAGTGGAGCAAGAAAGCAAGAAATTTGGAATTTGCAAGATACACAAAGCAAGACGCCAAGGTCATGGAGGAGGTCCTGAAGAAGTTGTCATCGGTCCAGGGATTGTAGACTTAAGTTAATAAAAGAAGTACCTGCTTGTGGAAGCAATGCTCTCACACATCCTAGTCAGCCAGTTGAATGCCATAGTGCATAGTGTTAGGTCAATAGGACTAAGTTGACAAATTTTGTGGATTGAAACGTGTCATGTTAATTTAGTTTATTTTTAGTTAGTTAGCTTTGTTCTAATTGTGAGTCAAGTGAGAACTAACTAGGAGATGAAAATTGAACTACTGCAAAGATTAAAATGGTAAATTTTGTCAAAAATGTTAGAAAGGTAAATTCATACTATGATGCACACTCACCAATTAGGCTCATGGGTTCTAACTTTCAAAGTTTTTAAAACTTATTTTGATCCTAATAATATTGTTTTTAAAATGCATGGTTTCAAAACAAAAACAAAGTTTCTGCATTTTTTCTGAGTATTAGGTACTGCAATGGGTCAATCAATCGAGATATGGATTGAAGTCTACTGGAGTAACTTCGATCGATTGAAGGCTACTGGAGTTACCTTGATCGATCGAGCAAGGCCCAAAATTCAAAACTCCTGTTTGGACTGAACCACTGAGTTTTGACCTATTATATTTATGCTCAAGAGCTAGCCCAATGCATGAGGCTCCCACCACTGCGTGGTCTGGGGAGGATATGCTGCCTTACCTTCGCATTGAGAGGTTATTTTTGGTTTCGAACCTGTAACCTCCAAGGTCACAATGGAGCAACCTTACCACTTTCAAACCCGTGACTTCCGTTATTCTCAAGGGTGCTTATAAATAGTTATGATCTCAGAAAACCCTATGAGAGAAGAAGAGTGTTTTTTCATATCTTTTGAAAAGTAGAAACAATATATTTCGTTATATAAACAAGAATAAAGCTCTTCTTTTTCAATCTCTTCATATGTTTTCGAGAGTTTTCTTGTGAGAGAAAAGTGCGTCCTTTTTGTTTTCAACAATCATCCTACATTGTTTTGGCGAGTTGTTGCTTATTGGTGTTGATACAACTGTTATTGAGCTACTCAAGAACATTCAACACTGTGGGAGTAATCAACTGATTCCTGTCACTTGCTACCAGGTCAGTTCTTCAAATATATATACATATATGTAAGTATATGTGTAGGTATAGACTTATAGTTTATACAAATGATTATTCATTTCTTTTGCAGTTGTTGTGTATGAGGGACAATGTTTTCACAATGTGATGGATATTGTATTAGTAGTTCACGTTGTCCTGAATTCAGTGATGCTTGAGACCTCATTTGGTTCCTGGACAAGGAAAAGAAAACATTAATTTTAACTTTGTATATTCGATGGATTAATTTCCGATGAACTAAAATTTCCTTTTTAACTAGCTCATTGTAGTTTCCCAAAACTACAAAATATCCAAGTGTGCTTTGTAACAGATCGATGTTTGTTATTAGGTTGATATGGCAGATTGGGTTGTTTTGGGTGAGGATAAAGGCAGGTAATTTAATTATTATTATTATTATTATTATTATTATTTCTGTTTTTCCTAATGTCTTTATTATGTATTTATTATAATAAAATTAGCTGTAAGAAATTTATATAAGGCTGATAAACTTATATAAGGGAATAGTGCTAGTAGTACTTACTGCTCATCTGGACACTGTTTTCCAAGGAATTTCCTCTCTGTTGAGAGTTGGAGTTGAGGTCTCTCTAAAACTAAACAAATTTTCTCTTTAAGGATTGCAACTGCAACAATTTGTATCAGAGTACTTTTCTGAGATCAGTGAAAGGTCATACTCATCATTGGGTTTCTCTAGTGTATGGTTACAGCACGATTAGGTTGTCTAGTGGAGCAAGAAAGCAAGAAATTTGGAATTTGCAAGATACTCAAAGGAAGCAAGCCAAGGTCATGGAGGAGGTCCTGATGAAGTTGTCATCCAGGGATTGTAGACTAAGTCCATAAAAGAAGAAGTACCTGCTTATGGAAGTAAGGCTTGTACTCATCCTAGTCAGGTAGTTGAATACCATAGTGCATAGTGTTAGGTCAATAGGACTAAGTTGGCAAATTTTTTAGATCAAAACATGTCATATAAATTTAGTTTATCCTTAGTTAATTAGTTTTGTGCTAATTGTGAGTCAAGTGACAATTACCTCCGCTGCGAAGATTGTGCTGCTGCAAAGGTTAAAGTGGTAAATTTCGTCAAAAAGGTTAAATTCACGCTATGATGCACATTCGTATGCAGATTCTTTTCTTTTTTTTCTTCATTTTCTAAAACTTTTAGCTATATTTTTCATTTTTCAAGATAAATGTTGGGTTAATGAAGCGATGGTCCATTGGTGGATGATGTTTTCTTCTTATGTCTACATCTGGCTTCAGAATTTAACTGGAGAAGAAGCTATTTTTTGTATTTCATTCTTCTGATTTTTCATTATGACGTTTTGTATTATAGGAAACCCTGATATTATCATGATTCTCCCAGGCAATAATTGGATTTTTGTTTCTAGTTTAGTTATAAATAATAAATCCGAAATAATATTCTTTGGCACAAGTTTAGAAGCCTAAATATGTATACATTGTGGAGATCTTTTCTACTAATCTCCTTTTTGCTGCTATCAAGTTCGAGGGAATTAATGCAAAATAAGGAGGCATTTTATGACATAGGGTAAAATATTGAAACCTTGGGGACCTTATCATTGCCCTTTCCTTTCTGTCCCTTCTCTTTTTAATATCTTCTCACTGTCAAAGTTGGTGCCTCTGAAGAAATTTTGTGCCGCAGACCTGAGATCAATTCTGCACCTGAATTTAATCATCATCTGCACTACTTGCTTCTCGATTTAAGAAAAATAGTGATTATCAGTTTTAGTTATATGCAGATTGTTGGTGTTCCCAATCAAGCAGAGAAAGATGAGATTGTCAAGTCAGTGATGGATCTGAAAAATGCTGAGATTGAGGAAGGGTACACTATGGATGTTGTTGTATCTCGCCAGGTAGGGAGTAAAATTTGTAGTGAATTAGCTTAATTTGCAATATACAGCAATTTATTTTTTTCTCTCTCTCTTTTGTGTGTGTGTGTGGCAGAATCTTCTAATGGATGTGAGGGATAAGCTTCTTTTTGAACCAGAATATGCTGGTAATGTAAGGGAAAAGGTGCCACCTAAGTCTTCTCTACGAATTCCTTGGGCTTGGTTACCTGGTGCTCTTTGCCTTCTTCAAGAGGTATGACTGCATGGGATTTATATTGTAGAAATCTTGTTGCAATTCCTGTTTGGAGAAAATATTATCTTGAAAGAACTTGACCTTGCCATCTTGGTAGCCAGGCTCAATTCCTCACTTGATTTTGAGTGGTTATTCAGGGTCCATCTTGCTCTTTTTTATTTTAGATCTATGTATTCCTTCTTATTCCTTTATCCTAAAATTTGAAACACTTTTTTTTCAAATAAAGGTTTAATGGGATTTTGGTTTCTATGATTTAGGTTGGAGAAGAGAAGCTTGTGCTAGATATTGGCAAAGCAGCCCTTCAGCATCCAGATGCTAAGCCACATATTCATGATTTGCTTCTGTCCATGGCATTAGCGGAGGTAAGGCAAAGTAGAAGAGGTCAGGACTCTGTACCACTTCTTTCCTAGCAGTTTTGTTATGCAACTTTTTCTTATTATAGGTGCTTTCTTGAAGTGTGCCATTGCTAAAGCTGGTTTTGAGAAGAACAATATTTGCCGAGGATTTGAAGCTCTTGCTCGTGCTCAGTGTCTTCTTAGGGGCAAAATATCTCTTGGAAATATGACATTGTTATCTCAGGTATATCTCGTTTCAGTTGTACACTTCTACCTTCAATTATTTTGAAAGGTTCTCTCGCTTGTTTTCATTTCAGTATATCTATTTTCTTACCTAGCCAAAGTTAACGGTTTAAATATAATCTTCTTATATTTCTTAAACTTCTTGTTGGGATACTCCAAAGAGGAAAATATATTTATATAGTAAGATTTTAGTTACCAAGAGAAACTATGAGTAATTCAGATTGTCAAGTTACTGTTATTGGGTTGAAATTGTTTCTGTTGTTGTTAGGATGTTGATACTATTAGGTGCTCATCGATGTGTGCCAGATTTAGTAATTGGTTTAGATTTTTGGTTGCTCAATGCTCACTATAATTTTATTTGGCCTTTGTTTTTAGATAGAAGAATCTTTGGAAGAGCTTGCACCTGCTTGTACATTGGAAATTTTAGCCATGCCTCACACGCCTGAAAATGCTGAACGGAGACTAGGAGCCATTGCAGCCTTGCGTGAATTGCTCAGACAAGGCCTTGATGTAGTAACTTCATGTCAAGTTCAAGATTGGCCGTGCTTTTTGAGTCAAGCACTTAATAAACTCATGGCTTCTGAAATAGTTGATCTTCTTCCTTGGGATAATTTAGCTATTGCACGGAAGAATAAGAAATCAATTGAATCGCAGAATCAGAAAGTTGTGATTGATTTTAATTGTTTCTATATGGCTTTGTTGGCTCATTTTGCTTTTGGATATTCAAGCAAGCAAACAGACTTGGTAATTTCCATTTTGCCCTGGATGCAATTCTTTATTCATTTTGTTTAATTTACAAATTTCTTTTCAATATGAATTTGGTTCTGTTAAACTTTTATTATAAAAAAACAATTTGAACAATTTAGGAATATTATGGGTGCTGATGTGTGTTTATAAAAAAAGAGGAGAGATTTGTTTTGTTTCGTATCTTATGAATGTTATTCTTTCTTTTATTCTCATGTAGATTAACAAAGCAAAAACAATTTGTGAATGTTTAATAGCATCAGAAGGTATTGATTTAAAATTTGAAGAGGCCTTCTGCTTGTTCCTTCTTGGACAGGTAATTGATCTTTCCTTTATTTAGAATTGAAAATTTTATCCATTTAAACACTCAGGATGTAAGATGCTTGTTATCCAGGGTGCTGAGGCAGATGCTGTTGAAAAGCTTCGGCAGCTAGAATTAAATTCTAATCCTGCTTTACAAAATTCCATCTCAGGGAAGGAATTCAGAGATGTTTCTGGCACAGACCAATCACTGGTATGTCTTTTATTGTGATTAAAGACACACAATTGAACTGCTGCTGCTGAACATCTCACCTTTATTTTGGGAGGTCCTAAGCAAATTTTGAACTATTGTCCTGAATGTGTGTTGCTTTTCCATGATAAAATTAGGATGAACAAAATCCAATTAACATAAACTAATGAAGGTGAAAATTAAATGAAAAGTTTGAGGACAAAACCATGATATAAGAACTTAAGTCCAAAGTCTCAATAACGCAAGTTAGTGGAGCTCAATCGATTGACCAGTGGCATTCGATCAATTCAATATTTTGATGTCGCAAAAAAAATAAAAAAATATGGGAGCCGTAAGGCAAGTGTTGCCAGAGGATGGCATTCTGGAGCTTGATCAATCATTTAGATTGATGATGGCAATAAATTAAAATAAAAAAAAATAAAAAATTGAAACGGCATGACAAGTTTCACCCAAGAGGTACCCCCCCCTCAAAAAAAAAAAAAAAAAAAAATAGTAGTACTAGCCCACTCCAGAATATATTAGCACACCCCAAAATATATTTCTGGGTCCGCCCTTGCCCAAGAGGTGATAGAGGGCATGCGGCTTAGCTACTGAAAAGGGTAGAAAGGGGAAGGGAAAAAGGAAGAAGAGAAGAAAAGAGAGAAAAAGAAAGGAAAAACAGAGAGAAAGAGAGGGGAAGGAGAAGAGTAAGGAAGAGAAGAACAAGAGGAAAGTGGAGAGGAAAAGGAAGGGAAAGAAGACAGCAAAGGCATCGGTCAATGGACTGCAGGTGCATTCATAACAGTGGAAGGAAATCCCATTCCTTCAAGGTAAGGAAACAAGATCCGACCTCTTTTCAAGTTAAATCTGTGTGTTAAAATTACACCAAGATAATTATGTTACTGTTCTAAATTATCAAATTTGCCTAGAATGATTGACTTGCATTATGCCATGCATAAATAAAATATTTTTGTAGTACAGTTAAAGTTGATGTAAGTAAAACTTAGTGCAAGTAGTTATGAAAAAAAAATAGTGCAAGTATATGAACATTCATGATAGTTGGTGTGCTTGCTTTATCGAAATCATTATATGTGTTGTTGATAACTTGATGCTCAAAAAGGGAAGGATTTTACTGTATTTTGGCTAATGCTTGTGGTTTCTATAGACAGAGTTCATAGCCCTGTTTGACCGAGTTCTTGAAAATTTCATATTTTAGAAAAATACAGAAACCGAAATTATATATTTGAAAGTTGGAGATAACGCTAAAGCAAAAATAGTCTTCATTTTAACTAAGGTTAGCTAAAAGATCTTGATCAAAAGTGATACTGCTAAGAATTTTTCAAGCTGCTGAAAAACCATCTATTAATTGTGAAGTCGGATCGATTCATTTTCTCCCAGTGTTATGAAAATGCTTCAAAAACATTGAACTAAATGCAAAATGATATGATATCAAGTTTATGTTGATGACTGTTGATTGGCTAACTTGATAGTGTCCGACTGAAAATTTGATATCATGTTACCATATGGTATTGCCCTGCATAATAATTTGAATAGTGGTGAGAATTAAAGCTGAATAATTTTTAATCTCGAATTTACCCTTATAATGGTCATGGATTGAAAATCATAAACTCTTCTCAATTTGATTGGTTGATATGCATTGAATCTAATTCCTTTCTAGTCGATTGTTTTGGACGGAGACATGTTGAATCAGATAGTAACAAACTCTTCAGTAATCTTGGCTTGCCATTTTGATGGTTGTGGACTGCTGTATTTGCTTTGTGGTCCTGTACTGTGGATTATTTGGATATTGTATTTACGTTGTGGGTCTTGGACCCTGCTGTTTCTTCCTATTAGACTTATATGAATACATCCTTGGTTGACCGGGAGTGCTTTTAAGGTGCTTCACACCCTTTCTTTGCACGATGTTGTCATAAGAAGTTTAATCTCTTTTCTTATAGCAATTGTTAATTTATTTACCAATATAAGATTCGGTTATCAGTTTGTGGTTTTATGAACAACCCTATGGTAATCGTATTATCTGGTCCGTCATCCCCCAGGAATGGAGTAAGGGCCAACCTTTATCTCATCTGCGGGATGGGGAGGGGGTGCTTATTATAATTACCGTTTCAATGCCTTACCCAGATAAACAAAGTGTTTTAAAAAAAGTATTTCCTATTTAAAGATCTAATATAGGGTTGGTTGTGATTCTTGTATTAATGACTTCACAAAGATAAGACAACGTTGGTAAGGAAGCTAAGTGCCTTCTATTGGTATGTTTAAGCAAGGAGTAATTTGATGATGAAGACATCAAATCAAATCCTTGTGTTTTTTCTCTGTTTCAGATTTTGGGATTTGTCATGTAACAACTATTTTGTATCGTTTTTCTCATTTAATTCTTTTTAAGTTCCAATTGTTTGAGCTTTTATGTATTATTTTTTAAGTTTATTGTTCTATAGCTCTATCCGAGATTTCATTAGGGCGTAACATGGACATGGAGCCAATCCAATCTTATCTGATCCAAGACCAATTCTTTTGGATCCAAATCCATCCAGCATCCGGATTATCCACAAAATGCTTGGGCTGAATACGAATGTTGTCTCTAGCATCTGACTTGGACTCGGGTTTGGATACAAATTTCACAGTTAAATAATGGATTTGGACTATCCTGATCCGCTCCATTTCAAGCAAAATTAGAGCTAAGTGGTTCCAAAATAGGCTTCAAGAAGAAGCAAAATTAGGTAAGTACTTATCAAAATATATATATATATATATATATATATATATATATATATATATATCTTGCTGGTAAGATCTATCATTGGCTACCTTTCCGTCTTATAGCACCCATCTTCTACGAGTTAACCTATTTACATGACTATTTATCTTTAATCTAAAGGCCTATTTAAAATACCTCCTATTAGGGGAGGCAGCAGGGCTTCTTATGACTATCTTTTAAATGCTTTACAATTTCCTTTAAGGATTTCTCAAAGACGATGATAGTGTTAATAAGCTAATAGTCTTAGTTCCCTTTACTTGTTTCTGTTCTGATGGTAGTGCACCTCTGTTGTTGAACTGGTCGTATTGGTCTTGGGACCGATTCCTTGATATTAATGTGATGGATTTGGGCTGAATCCTATTTTGATGGTCATGAACCGATTTTTTTTTTTAACCTATATTACTGATTAGCAATCAGGAAGGCTCTAGCAACAAGATAAAAGAATGAATTCTTCCTTTCATGAAATTAGGTTCATAGCCTTGGGCTGGTTTTCTTAAATCAGTAAGCTTTTTTTATTGATTTAGGGTGCTGCCCTCTTCAGCCTGAGAAGGGTTGGACCAATTTGTTGATTTTCTGTGATGGTCTCATTCTGACATTTTTACGTTCTGATGGTAGTGGAGCTTCATTCTTGAACTTGTCGTGATGGTCTCAGATTGATTCTTTGATATTCTTGTTATCGCTTTCAACCGAATCCTGTTTTGATGATCATGGACCGAAATTTTTGTAGCCTTGGGCTGGTTATCTTATGTTGGCTGCAGGCCATGTTGTAATGGTTTTGAATCAAATCTGCTGACTTGTGATTGTTGTGTGTTAGAGGTGACTACTAGGAAGAGACATTGCTCAATTTACAGAAGAGACTGTCGGGATATATGTGCATGCTTGGTACCTTCAGGCAGTATTCTCAAGGAGTCGACTTGTAGGTAAGTGGTGCCTGGGGTGATTCAGTAGAAAGATCTATTTAAGTCAGTTGTTGAGGGTAACACGGGGCAAGTTCTCGTACGCCAGTATTGCCATCCAAACTTCTGTTATACTGTTTTGATATTGGATAGTTACTCTGTGGTAGTTTACCATCAACTATTGCCATATGTTATGGCAAAATAGAAACCTAGTCAGTTTTTACCGATAGCCCCCACAATACAGCTTTATTAAATAAAATGATGTGTTGAAATCATGGGATTGCTAGTGATTGACCAAAAATACAGAAAAACTGCCATGGGATGCTAGAAAAAAATCTGGATTGAGAATCGTTCAGATCATGGAATGACCGGTCCTTGATGTTACATAAATATTCCACCGTGCTAACTTGATGTGATTGTATTCTTGTGACTTAAATGATGTATGTGGCTTTGTTATTGTCTTTGATGAACTAGACGTTATTATCGTTAGTATTAATTCTAGAATCAAATCTTGAACTTGCTTCCTGCTGGACGTTCATGCTCATTCCCTCACTTATTTCTCTATCAAAGGGATGGTGTATGCTATGGAACACACATTGGGATACTCCTGGGGGTTAGAGAGATACATGGTCAGTGAATGCCTTGAATAGTGTAGTCATATTTGACAGATTGTGATTTCTGTTATGAAATTTGATTATGATGAGTTGTGAAATTGATAGAGTGGTTTTGTGACTCGAATAAAATCTTCGAAGTGAGTGGTTTGAAGACATTTCTAATTGGAGTGTCAGTGAAATTATGAACTGATCACGCCCTAATCTCAGGGTCAGTGGGAGCGGGTGTGACATTTACTGCTGCACTGCATGTCATATTACAGTCAATTGTACTGGCTTTCTTTGTACATTGTATTTTTAACAGCAAAGCTATCATTTGCAATCTTTTCACCATATTGACATAAACCTGTTGCAATAAATGTATATATAATGGGAAAAAGTACCTTTCATTGGGTCATGGTTTGTATGCCCTTGCCTCCCTTTCCTGTATCCTTGCATCAATTGTCTCCCCTTTGATTGTTTATACATCAATCATTCAGAGAAAATCATGGTATCCCATCGGTCCTTGTGTGACTCCTTGAGCACTGAACTACGCTTTTTGATTTTTTTTATTTATCTGAATGGGGTGATTTTTAAAATAAAAGAAAAAGAGATTAAAGTACAAGATAACAATGTAGAGGCATACCCCTAAAGAGACATCTGCAATGCTTATTGAATTTGCATCTGATTTAGGGACCATCATTAGGGCATATGGTCCTAGGTAAGTGTAAATATATAATACTAACCATGACCCATTTATTTTATTATTATTGTTGTTGTTGTTGTTGTTGTTGTTGTTTTGGGTAAAGTAACGTAACACAGTGTTGTGCACTGATGATAGTATGCTAATGGTCCTCCATGGACCATGTTTCATTTGATGCCATATGTTTGACTATGTACTATATACTTGTCTTCGAGGTTGATAGTTTCTCATACCAGACTGCCTGCTGAATTGACCAGGAAATATGGTTGAAGGATGTTGTGCTGGATTTATTCCCAGATACACGAGATTGTTCTCCGTCTTTGGTAAGATTTCCAATGTTCGTATTAAAAATTAGGCATTCTTATTTTGCAGAACATATCATAAAGGAAGCTAACTTTGAATATGTTTTCTGGAGGTCAACTTCTTTGCTGGTGAAAAGAAAGCTTTTGGGAACAGGCAAAATAAAGGAGCTTCACAGACCATATCTAATATAAGCCGCCGACCACTTTCCCCTTCTGTTGCATCAGATCGAAGAGCTATTGAGGAACCTATCTCATATTTAAACTCTTCTCAACATCTTGGGCCTGCTGTAAAGCAGTTAGCTCCCTGTAATTTGCAAAATCCGTTGACTGCAGGCAAGACTAACAACGGAGCCAATGTTAGCACACCATCTGTTCAATTGAAAAGAAATTTGGGTGGACACCATAATAGAGTTTGGGATAACTTCTTGGGCTCATATAATGTGGTTGGAAAGATTGCTTTTGTTACAGTATTGGGGTGTGTTCTGTTTGCTGTACGTTTGTGGAGGATGGGAAGTGCATCCAGATGGACATCGAAGAAACTAAGAATGAACACAAGTTCTGTTTCTTGGACTATGGATTCTTCCCTAGATCAAAGTGTGGGGCCTAGTTATATTAAAGGAATTAGTATTGCCGGAATACTCCAGAAGCTTCTCTCAGGGTTTAAGCCGCAGCTCAGGAACTGCCCAGATGCTGCAAATTTGCAAAATCCATGCCTTGCTGCTAGTCTGTCATCCTCTATGACTGCAGTATACAAGAGGCCAATGGCTATGGAAGAAGCTGAAACCCTTGTTAAGCAATGGCAAGCTACTAAAGCTGAAGCTCTTGGGCCTAACCATAAAGTTCATAACCTATTTGAAGTCCTTGACGAGTCTATGCTTCTGCAGGTAAACTATGCTGATTGTTTTGACGTGAAGGAGTTTTTCTTAATAAATTCACTTGCCAACAAAATTATGTGCTTTTACATGTCCTTAATAGTTGGCATGGAGGGTTCTATACAAATTACTGATACACCTGAACAAAAACGTATATTTATTTTTAGGGTATATTGCCCCGAGGTTTGGTTTTTGCACCCTCATTTTAAAGTTTGGTCAAAATTGTGGTCAACCTCTCCTGAGGTCTGGCAAAAAATAGAGTTATCCCCTTAGCCATTAAATGACTGTTATTGCCGTCAAAATTTTTTATTTGATTTCTGAGATTGCCCTTAGTGCATGAAATTTCATAGTTAACCCTCTAATTCTTTTAAACGACAAATTTATCCTGTGTGATATGACATATATATATGTGTGTGTGTGTGTGCCACCAGCCACCTAGTTATATGCCATTACTGCCACCTTATTCTCACAACCATCACCTCTCTCTTGACTAATTTGTAGATTTAGTGATGGATTTGAAAACTGAATGTTCGAAACTATTGAATCCATGGAAGATAATGAATTGATATCACCTAAACGATTTGGAAATGTTCAAGAAGGCAAGATTGAAAACAGCAAGTATTGTGGAGTTGGGGTTTGTGTGTGTGTGTGTGTGTGTGTGAGAGAGAGAGAGAGAGAGAGAGAGAGAGAGAGAGAGATCACCTAAATGATTGGGAAATTTCCAGTAAGCCAATATTGAAAACAAAGGGTATTGTGGAGTTGGGGTTTGTGTGTCAATATGTGTCTGTGTGTGTGAGAGAGAGAGTAGTATGTAATTGTTGTGGGATGTGAGTTTAGAAACCCTTCCCAAATTTGATCAATTAAGCAAGATTTAGATTGATTCTGTATCGAAAACTCAAAATTAGTGTCAGACTAACCAAAGAATTTAAGTTGATAAGAGAGAGAGAGAGAGGCTCAGAGTGGTCAAATTTGTAATTTGACTCTTAATGTTGGGGCAGAATGGTAAAAGGACATTAACAGCTTTTTACGTTAAAGTTAAAAGGGTGCAAACTCAAACCGTAGGAGAGGTTAGGGTAATTTACTCTTATTTTTATGTACCTATGTTATTCAATCAGTAAGCTATGGCATCTTATAATCTGAACCATTTTGAATTGAACTTTTACATGGATTTTTTATTTTTATTTTTTGGTGGCATAACTACTGTCCCCATTTTGTGGATTATCTGATGAAGTTGAGCTACTCTATTGATTCAGACATCATTTTTTAAGGAAACAACTAATTTGTTTTACAATTACTGTCATTTGATTTGCTGATTATCTGATGATGCAGTCAAATTGGTGGCACTACTGGTTAGATTATTTTGCATAGTGCTGTTGTGGACCCAATTTTATAAGTTTTGGTTAAAATTCAATTTTATTCCTTCCTACTTCTGATTGAATTAGCTGGATTTTAGGAATTTGTGGTCTTTAATAAATTTGCATTGAAATATAGGAAAATTTGTATGGGAACAGGAAAATTTGAGTCATTGATATTTGATAATTCTATATACCTATAATCCAAAAGCTAAGGTTAGTTTTTTAGGTTCCATAAAAAACGAAATCTTGTTGAGGCCCCTGCGTAGGCTGCATGGGAAGTTATCCTAGCACCTTTTTGTCTTTAAGTTCCTCTAGTCTTTTACTTATCAAAAAAAAAAAAGGTTCCTTTAGTCTTTTAGTTTCTTTTTTTCTTATTTTATTAATTTATTTTTTTTGTTTCTTTCAGTCTGTTGATGTTTTTCTTTTCAATGTGAATTTGATCAACAGTGGGAAGCTTTGGCTGATGCAGCTAAAGACAGGTCTTGTTTTTGGAGATTTGTTTTGCTGCAATTGTGTGTCCTGCGAGCTGAGATTTTATCAGATGGGATTGGTCTCGAAATGGCAGAAATAGAGGCTCTCCTGGAGGAAGCAGCTGAACTTGTTGATGACTCTTTGCCAAAGAACCCAAATTATTACAGGTAACTGTAAATAACGATACTTGGGGAATGATATTAGCCTTTTGTAATTGTGTCTTTTTCACAATGCAACCTGGGCAGTTTGAATTAGGTTAAAGGTTAATCCAAGTCTAACCCCGAAGGCTTGAGAGTTGAGAAGGCTACCCAATCCCAATCCAACAATCCTTAGTTTTGAAGGTTACTTTTGAAGAACACAAAATATATGAAGAAAAGATGCAATGAACAAATCATTTAACAAAAACACTGATGATTTTATCATTATGTGTTGCAATTCGTAAGGAACACATGATACCAATTAAAATGAGGATTATGAATTTTAGTTTAAACATGTGTAATAGAACTAATTTCTCTCAGCTTAAAGGTAAAAATCCCTGACATCTTATGTCTGTATTATGCAAGTACCACTGCTGTAATGAATGCAATATATGTAGGATAAATAATGTAAATATGCAATTAGTGATGCTCAGGTTAAATTATGGTGTCAAAGGACTCACCCAAACTAAAGTCAGGTTGAGATCCCAATCGGGTCAAGCTTGTCTATTGGTTGGGTTGAGAAAGTATAACTGTTCAACCTGCTTGCCCTAGGCTTTTAGATTTTTTGTTGTCATGGGATTACTTTCAGCTTCGCTGTTCAATAATTTTTGCAATTATCTAAATTGAAGTTGAGGAGTTAGGGAATTACTAAATGTGTTCTGGTTGCTGCTACTTCACTCTTCCCTTACCCTCTCCTTAATTTTCCTGAATATTTCCTAGAATTTTTCGGAGTGTTTGTTATTTTCCAATGATCTTTCTTTATTCTCTTTCATTATTATTATTATTGTGGTCGTTATGTAATAACTTTGGCTAATTGATTTGCAGCACCTATAAAATAATTTATGTTCTAAAACGGCAAGATGATGGTTCGTGGAGGTTCTGCAAATGTGATATTCTACCTTCGTCATGATTTTTCAACCTAGATGGAAAACAATTGCGATCGTGACGTCGGATGTCTTTAGAATGATTGGTCCGAACAGATGGTCAAGCCCCTCATTACTCAACGCTTATCGTTTTTCTTTCTACCAAGCTGCTGCATTCCATCTTCAATATTTGCTTGTAATGATATCCGGCCGACAAAGTTGGGATTAGAACTCAATTAAAGCTAGTAGCTACTGATTCTTTTTTTTTTTTTCCGAGTCATGTACACAGGAAATAGAACAAAGTTGAGATTTTAAATCTAGTAGCTGCCGATTCTTTCTTTTCTGTTTTTTTTTATTTTTTATCAGAGTCATGTACACGGGAAATTCTTTGTAAGAAATCTTGCGAAAGAGCAAAGAACCTGACATCTACTATTTACTAAAAGGGCATGTTTAGTAGGCATTTATTTTTCCGTGACTTCTACTATTTACTAAAAGGGTGTTTAGTATGCATTTTATTTTTGCGTTTGTTACAGCGAAAGTTTCAAGAAGTATGAATGTATATTTGTAGGAAGAACAACTGTTATTGTCTGGCCACTTTTGACTCCTGAACATGGAATTTAGATGTGTCGATATTAACGGTGACTTGTTATTTTGATGAATAATTTCTTAAACATATACATGTTAACTGCCAACTTTTGGGAAGAGATATAATAACTCTTGGAATACAACTCTTGCCTAGGGTCACAACTTTCAAATTAAATACAAATACTATTTTTTATGAAGAAATATCTTGGAATACAACTTTTGCCAAGGGTCTTCTTCTTTTTATTTTTTTAACTCTCTTCAAAATATTTGCATTCACTTGATTAAGTCAAATTCTATTTTTTTTTTTCCCTTCAAAGTTCTCATATTTTATTCATTTTATTTTCTTCTTCTTTGTGTTTTTTATTTTTTTTACTTATTTTGGTTACTAAAGTTGGTCAACCATAATGAGGTTTTTTTTATTTAAAAAAAAAAAAATTATAATAATATAAATACCATTTTTAAAAATAATTTAAATATTTTTTTATGTGCAACAATTAGTTACCAATCATGTTTTTGTTTTGGAATAAATCACACCACATAATAATAATAATAATAATTATTATTATTATTATTATTATTATTTTAAAGTTACTGTTTTTGCTTCATATATGAATCATATGAAATCAAAAATGCAAAATAGAACTTGCTAAAAGGAACTTTTTAATATCCGTATTTTATGTTTTTGAATTCTTTTAAAACAATTTTTTTGGAATTCTCAAATACCATATAATTGTCCATTCTTTTAGTTTCCATAGTCTCCTTCTCCAAATTGAATGAAGATTAATTGAAAGTGAGAAGCATAACATTGGGTCAAGTGCAAAAAACACGCATAATATATATTTTGAGTAAAATTTTTAATTTTAGTTAAAAAAGTATGTGAAAAATATTCCTATTCTTATAAAATTGTGCGAAAACACCCCTCAATCATAAAATCTGACATAAAATAATATTGTAATACTTGTTTTACCCTTGTACTTTTCCGAAAATACCCAAGGAGGTGTGTATGCTAATAATCTCATAGTATAGGAGTGTTATGTGCGCATTAACTATATTTAATCAACTTTAAAGTATTTTCTCACCTTTTCGAATAAAAAAATCTTCTTTTATATTTATGATAACATGTATTATCTCTCTTTAAAATAAAAAATTGTTCTTACAATTGTCAGATTAATGTACAATATGTCATATGAAATGAAAACTTCAATTCCTTTTATAATTATAAAAAACAATAACATAGTTATCAGTTTTCATTAAATATACAATTTAAAAATTAAATTAAAGATTCTTATCCGTTATATATAAACAATATACATTTAATATTTTAAAATTTAAAATTTGCAATAAATTTTCACACACACACACACATATATATATATAATTCTTTACATAGCAACAAATGGGTATTTATTCTTTATTGAAAAAAAAAAAAAAAACAACAACAATAACAAATGGGTGTTCAATCACCTATCGTTATCATACTATTCAAAATACTATTCAAATTGTGATAAAACTACATTCTTAATTAAATCTAGCTGCTAAGCTCAAAATATATAACAATAGTTTATAGAGTACAAAACACTTATATAATATACTTACAGTGTTTATCACACTCTTCATATACTAAATGACCGTTTTCGCCATTTAATAAAATGATGCATTTTTAAATAATATGTAAAATGTGTATAAAAGAGCAATTTAGTCAAATTATAACTAAAATGTGTCAAGAAGGACCTATTTGTACCAAATTGAAACTTTAAAGGTATTTTCCACACATAAACCTACTATAGGAGTATTGTTTGCACTTTACCCGCAAAGATTACTATGCATATATTATATGAGCATCTCTTACTTGTAAAATAAATAAAGATTATTGTATATATAATCATATTATACAAGCAACGGGTAGAAATGATTTTTTGAGAATCAAATCAGTAATTAAATTAGATCTTAGGGTTAAGTGCAAAAAAAATCCCTCTACTATCGATATAGTGCAAAACGGTTCCTGTGTGGTAAAAAAAACCCTATACTATCAATTTAGTGCAAATAGGTCCCTCTGTCGTATAAAATAACAATAATACCCTCACTTCAGTTGAATAAATTAATAACTATAAATAAAGGGCATGTAAAATGACCCTTTTATCCCAAACACCACCTAAACCTAATTTCCCTTAACCCAAACACAGCCTTATGCCCATATGTCACTGTTCATCTTCTTCAACGCGCACAATGTCACAGCCCAAACAGGAAAATGCCCAACCCATCTATAGAAGTTATTAACAAACCTCTATTAAATTCTTTCTTTCATCTGTATGCCAAAATGGTTCTGGTACTGCCGCCAAAAAGACACGGTCGCCAACGGCCTCCCCACCTGACGTCGCCGCCACCGCTTCGACTTCATACTCGACTATGTAAAATTAACCGCCACTGCTGCCCTAGGCATCTCGATCCCTCAGTCCTCAAATCAATACCCATATTAGAATTCAATCCCAAATCATTCAAAGATGGATTAGAATGTGGTTTCAATCCCATTCCACTTGCCCTCTCTGTCGAAACCTGAAGGTGATCAAACCTTTGTACGTTTGGGTTTCAAAGCAGTACAGCAAGAAGACGATGTCTTCAGAGTAGTCGTCGATGGTGACTCCTATGTCGTTTCCTACAATGGCGCCGGTTTGTTCGCCGAGAAAGCAAGTAGAGGAGAAACAGGGGAGTTGACGGTGGTACTCCGCCTGTTTCTTCTCGCTTACTCCCTCCGATTGCTCCGCCTTTTCTTAAATATCCACGAAGTCCTCGCCACCAAAACCGGTTTCGTTGGAGGGATGCGAGGTTAGAGAGAGAGGGTAAGGGGCCAGAGAACTGGTTTCGTTGGAGAGATAAGTTTTGAGGTGAGAGAGCTGGTTGAGATCAAAGGGTAATTCGCCGGAGAGGTTGATGTTGGAGACTCGGCCGGAGGAGTCGCATGAGACGCCGGTCCACTTGCAGTGGTAGGAGCCGGATGGCGTTGGGGAGATGGATTTCTTACCCCAATCCTAGAGCCATCATTGAGACATTACAGAGATGAGAGAGAAAGAGAGAGAGAGAGCCAACAACGTAGAAATTAAACGTGATCAAAACCATATTTTGATCGCAGAATAAGGTCCACAAGACCAAGATGAGCACGGCGTTGCAAAGAAAAGCCACAGACGATGTTACACTCGTCACCTGAAATTCTGCGCGTAGATCTCACGTGCCTTACATATCTTCTTCTCTAGCGACAATCCGATTTCGGCGAATTTTCTAGCGAGAATCCGGTCACATTTCCAGCGAGCTGAGCCGTTCAGCCAATACCCGCCGAGCCAAGCCATATAAGGGGGTTATATGCATATATGGGTGAGGGGCAAAATGAGAATCAAAAGGGTAAAATAGGGTTTTTATATTTAATTTTTATAAAAAATGATCAGAGGGGTTTATTTGCACATTTTTTTCTATTTTATGTACTAATATGCACATTTTCAAAAGTAAAAACTAATTTTGCATAAACTCTATATATGGGTTTTTTTTTTTTTTTTTGCACTTAACCCTAGATCTTAAGAAGTACTTATTTATAAATTGAATTTTGTTAAAATATCGTGTAGGTATCGTACCCGACCGTTAAATATAGTGGTAAGACCCACTTAATGAATTATTCGACCCTGATGGAGATTGAATGAATCATGAAATCTGAACGCTCCAAAACATCTATAAAAAATAATAATAATAATAATAAAAAAGAGTGACCGAATCAAAATCGCAATAAACCCTCTTTGTTTGGTTGCTGAGAGAAACGGAAGAAAACAGACAATCTGCTAACGAACTGTAAGTTCCTCTCTTTCTCCTTCCATCTTTTCCTCTACCTTTTTTCCCTTTAATTGCGTAACAAACCCTATTTGTTTGGTTGCTGGGAGAACAGAAGAAAACAGACGTAAGCAAAATTTGTTCTATCATATGTTCTGTTAATTTTGTTTCTAAAATAAAAGAATGAATTTTAACTCATCTAAATAGTTGTTTTAATTTGGATAAGTTGCATTGAATTGAATGTAGTGTTTTCTTCATATCTCAAAAAAAATTTAAAATTTTAATATGTAAGGACTTCGATTTCGTTTTATTTTCTCACTGTTTTCCAGCAACCAAACGGGTGAGAGGAAATTAAATACAATGACTTTGAAATTTGGGTGTTTTTGAAGGGAATTGAAATGGGTTCACGAGGAGCCAGTGTATTGCTGTCGAGGGCACACAGAATCAAGTCAAAGCTTCAATCTGCACTGGAAGCCAGCGTTTTAGAAGTGGAAGATGTTTCCTATAAGCATGCAAGCCATCCTGCTGTTAAAGACAATGCGAATGAGACTCATTTCAATGTCAAGATTGTGTCCGAGAAGTTCAATGGGCAAAACCTCGTGAAGCGCCATAGAATGGTCTATGATCTGTTGGCAGATGAGCTTCAGTCTGGTTTGCATGCTCTCTCTATTGTGGCAAAGACTCCCAAAGAAACTGGCGGTAATTGATAACCTATGTGAGTAGTCAAAACTGGAGTATATGATACAGTGATTTGTATGCTTTGACAATATTGCATATTGTGTAATAATAACCTAATGCAATAAGTATAATTTTGGTTTTTGCATATTGTGTAATATTGCATGGTTAAGGGTGTCTACACATATAAATATCAACAACTTTTTCTCCCAGGTGATGTGGAACGTCACAATCACCCCCTCTTGGGACCCAGCGTCTTTGCTGGACTCCTATCCCTCATGGGCTTGTGCACGCCCCCTATTTCTGACTGGGGATTGGCTCTGACATCACGACCCACCCCGCCCTTTGTAGATATGTGTGAACATCCCTTAACCATGTAGATGCATTTTGGGCAAAACCGTGAGCTCCGAGGGGAGAGTGTACACGGTGCGGGGGCGGGTCGTGACAGTAATGATGCCTCATCATGAGCTATTTTATTGACTGGTTAATGCCTTGATGTACAGTTCCTCAATTGAATTAAAATAAGTATCCATTCTGTCCAATCAAGAAATTACCTAATCACAAGTTAATGCGATTCTATTGTAGTTGTAATGGTTCAGGTGTATTGTTTAACTATACAATGTGTTACATGTTGGATGTTTTTGCATTGATCCTGTTTACTTGTTTTTAAATCTCCATTTTTTGTCACTCTTGCTCCATTGAAGCCATGGTAGGAAATTGGGCACAATGTAACTTTTTGGCTTTGATAGATATTGGTCTCATTGGCAAGTTTAAAGTTGGGGATAAGAAAAATAATAGATATAGTAGATTCCTTTTAGCGAAGCATAGCATTACCTTTCATATGTTTCGAGAAATGGCTAAGGGTGCTGCCTTGGTGGTTGAATGCGATACAAAAACACAATTAAACAAGTTTGTTCAAGACAATGGGCTTAGAATAGGGAACCATTTAATAGGTAAAGAGATGAAGTGGATGTAACTTTGACTTTACATGTGTCTCACTGAACAGTGCTTCACGTGACACTTTCCGGAAGGTTAAAGAGGACATGATCAATCTGTTTTGATGACCATAATCCTGCTACATCTCCGCTTGCAAATGATGAGACATGTTGGCTTGTACAAGACTACAACTATGTTCATCTGTAAAAATTTTAAGGTGCTGTAAATTATGACCTTGAGCCATGGGCTGTACATTTTCAACCCATTCCATGCACATTCCTTTTCCTTTCTTCCGTAAGAGGGCTTTGGATTTTTAACATCTCCTCATTTTAATAAATGAATATAATAAAATATCTATGACTAAACTAAACAGGTTACATTTCCCTTTTTTTCCCCTTTTGTTTTTTGTGGCATGTATAAACATAAAATGTGGATGTTGGGAACTGCGGCAGCGAGCTTTGTGGAGGCTATAGTAGGTGATTGCTGATTGTGCTGTTCAGAAACTATCTGAAGGGATTACAGTATGCGTGGGCAGAGACCTCCACTTCCAGCTGTCCAATGAAGAGGCTGTAGCTTTATTTAAAGAGCTTCGACTAAGTGTCGCTCTGAAAGGTCTTAATTGCTTGCCTCACACAGAGAATGATAGGACTGACTTTGTTTCAGATTCTGATTCTTTTTACGAAAATGATAAGGAGCTGGAAGAGGAAGTGCTTGATGATCTGGGTTCTATTCAACAGGTATGCTCCAATGAGCTTACACCTTGGGTGGAGAAGAATTCTGAAATCTTACAGGAGACACCACTAGCTATGGTGCGACCCGACGAACAGGGTGTTGATATGGGGAAAGATTGGGTAGTTGACAATATTAGAGTCACTAGTAAGCTACTGGGAGTCTCTTCACAAGGTAATGATGTCCAGACATTATCTATCCTTCATACAATTGTGGAAGGGAGAGAAGTTGCAGTGACTAATGAAGTTATTAACACGAAGCCTTTATCATCTTGGAAAGGAGTATAGGAGATAAAGAATCTCATTTCTGAAGTCAACTATGAAGGCAAAGGAGGAGTGGTGAAGGAAAGGGGAAAAACCAGGAGCAGGAGTCTCAAGAAGGGTGGAGGGGAGATTATTTTATCTGGTTTTCAATGAAGCTACGAATCATTTCATGGAATGTTCGTGGTCTTAATGATCCGAACAAGAGAAGGGTGGTGAAGGTAGCTTTAAGGAAGTGGGGTGCCCAGCTGGTTTGCTTACAAGAAACCAAGTTGGCATCCATTACTGACAGGGAGGTTAAGAGTTTGTGGGGAGGAAGGTTTGTGGAATGGGAGGCTTTGAATGCTATAGGATCTTCGGGTGGGATATTAGTTATGTGGGATAGTAGATGGTTAACTCGAACGGATGTATGGATGGGAAGATTCTCTTTATCTTGCATGTTTAAGATGGAAGAGGACAACTTCAAGTGGGTTTTTACCGGAGTCTATGGACCGGTTGTTGATGATGTTCGACCTATCTTTTGGGAGGAGCTTCGCCATGTCCAAGGACTATGGTCTTTCCCTTGGTGCCTGGGAGGGGATTTCAATGCTGTTAGATCCTCGTCAGAGAGGTCTACAGGGGGAAGAAAATCTCTAGAAATGGATCAATTTTCTGATTTTATTGATGAGCATCTTCTTGTTGATTTACCAATGGAAGGAGCAGCTTATACTTGGTCCAATGGTAGGGATCCAGTAACTCTATCAAGGTTAGACAGATTTTTAATTCTGGGGATTGGGAAGAGAAGTTCCCGGATGTTGTTCAAGCGGTGTTAGAAAGGGTCACTTCCGACTATGTGCCTTTGGTTTTGGATTGCGGAGGTTTATGCTCTCAAAGATCCCCGTTTAGATTCGAGAATATGTGGTTGCGTGCGGATGATTTCCAAGGAAAAGTTAGTTCTTGGTGGGAAGGAGTCACTTCTTGAGGCTCGCCCAGTTTCACAATTGCAAAGAAGTTAAGGGCTCTCAAATTAGCTCTTAAGCAGTGGAACAAGGATGTCTTCGGGAATTTGGAATGGAGGAAGAATAGAGTACTTGCTGAATTTTCAGAGATTGATCGTCTTGAGGAGGCCGGAAGGGATATGGAATCTTTTCGTTCCAGGAGAGTCTCTTGTCAGGCGGTATTTGCTGAGATTGCTAGTATGGAGGAGATCTCGTGGCGGCAAAAATCCCGAGCTCTTTGGTTAAAGGAAGGTGATCGGAACACAAAATTCTTCCATCGGTTAGCTAACGCTCATAGGAGGAGTAATCATATTGGAAGAATTCGGTTGGATGGTGAGGAGTTGTGGAGAGAGGAAGAGGTGCGTAACGGTATTGCTTCCTTTTATCAGAAGCTTTACACAGAGCTTTTAGATTGGAGGCCCAAACTTGATGGTCTCCATTTTGAGGCTATTTCTGAGCTTGATAGAGATAGGATTGAGAATCCTTTCACTGAAGAAGAAGTTCTTAAAGCTCTCTCAAGCTGTAATAGGGACAAAGCTCCGGGACCTGATGGCTTCACTATGCGATTTCTGATGGATAGTTGGGCGGTTGTAAGAAATAAGGTAATGGGTACTTTTCAGGAGTTTCATTCTTTTGGCGTCTTTGAGAAATCGCTTAATGCTTCATTCATTGCCCTTATTCCAAAAAAAGGAGGTGCTTCAGATATAAAGGATTTTCGTCCTATTAGTTTGGTGGGCTGCATTTACAAACTCATTGCTAAGGTGCTCGCTTTAAGGATGAAGGAAGATATGGATGGAATTATTTCGGATTCCCAGAACGCTTTCGTTGGCGGACGACAAATTCTTGATTCAGTTCTTATTGCTGGCGAATGTGTGGATTCCAGATTGCGGAGTGGTTTTCCTGGAGTTCTATGCAAACTTGACATTGAGAAAGCATATGATCATGTGAATTGGAATTTCCTACTCTATTTGTTACAAAGAATGGGGTTTGGAAGTAAATGGAGGAAATGGATTGAGACCTGTCTTTCGTCTGTCAAGTTTTCAGTTCTTGTGAATGGCTCTCCCGCCGGTTTCTTTGGTTGCTCTAGAGGTATAAGACAAGGTGATCCTTTGTCATCTCTCCTTTTTCTTCTTGTTATGGAGGGGTTAAGTAGACTGATGCATAGGGCAAAGGACCTTGGTTTTGTTAAGGGTTTCAGAGTGGGTAGAGATTTAGACCATCAGATGGAGATTTCCCATTTACTCTTTGCAGATGACACCCTGGTTTTCTGTGATGCTGATGTGTCTCAACTTCAACACTTGAGGTGTGTTTTGACTTGTTTTCAGGCAGTTTCCGGGCTAAAGGTCAATGTGACAAAGAGTGCGCTTGTCCCAGTAGGGAATGTTCCGGATATTTCCTCTTTAGATGCAGTCCTTGGATGCAGAGTGAGCTCATTCCCTATTCCTTATTTGGGTTTGCCCCTAGGGGTTTCTTCTAGCTTAGTAGGGAGTTGGGATTCTGTTATTGACAGGTACGCGAAGAGATTAGCAGGTTGGAAGAAGCAATACTTGTCAAAAGGGGGTAAAGTTACTCTTATAAAGAGCACCTTGTCGAGCCTTCCCACTTATTTTCTCTCTATGTTCCAAATCCCTTGTTCCATTGCAGACATGATTGAAAAAATTCAAAGGGATTTCCTTTGGGGTGGTAAGGGCGATGAGTTCAAGTACCACCTTGTCAAATGGGAGGATGTTTGTAAGCCTGTGAAATAGGGTGGACTTGGTATAAGACGTTTAGTTCCTTTCAATCAAGCTCTCTTGGGTAAGTCTCTTGTCGGTTTGGCGAAGAGGTTGGAGGTTGGTCTACGCGTCCGGTTACCATAGCGGGAGGAGTAGGGATGTGGAAGGCTATTTGGAAAGGATGGGATGTTTTTTTCACTTTCTCGTACTTTCCAAGATTATATAGTATTGCCGTTAATAAACACGCCTACATAGTCGACTGCTATCGACTTGATAGCAGCGGGATTATATGGGATGTGCATTTTCGGCGCTCTTTTCAGGATTGGGAGATGGACGAGGTATGTGTTTTTTTGAATCTTCTGTATCGACAAGAGGGCGTTGGCAGAGGTAATGATGTTTTAAGTTGGGTTCCCTCTTTTCATG